TCATGTACACACTGCGGGACTAAGTAGGAGAATCTCAACTCCTCATAGTCTTGAAAATGATTACATGGGGACAATGATTGTTCAACACATAAGGACGACATGCTAGATGATATAGGAATTGTTCAACAATATATAGGGACAATGCTGGGCTATTTAACTTAATCAAATGAAAAACATGATTTATTATGAAATATTAATGGATTTTTCTTTATCTTAAAAAGATATCTTGTATATAAGCAGATGATGTTTAGATAATGCATGAGTATATCTAATTTTATGAGTTATTTTAGTATTTTGAATTTAAATTTTAATAAATATAACTCTACTTTGCCTCCAATATATATATATATATATATATATATAATTTAGATAAAAATAAAATAAAATAGACATTTGCTAATGGAGATAAAAACAAACTCCCACAATCTTTGCAAGAAGAGTGAAAATATGTTTTTTAATATCTTAAAATTTATCACAATTTAATTTAGTCTTTTCACTTTTTTTGCTTTAGTGTCTAATCATATTTAAACAATAATATGACTAATTTAGCTATTATAAAGTATTTATTTTTGTATTATATATATTTTATGAAAGCATATCATTAAAAGAGATTAAAACTAACAATTTATTAAATTATAATAGCTAACATAAATATATTTTAAGAGATGGAAACATATTTAATAGGTAAAATCAGCTTTATAGACTGTCACACATCTTGTGATTGTCCAGTTAGAGAAACCATTGAATAATTGTGTTTTATTCTATTCCACTGTCCTCACAGATCACCAAGCAAAAAGTTACCCATTTCCTCTCAAAGCTGAGGTTTACAAAAAATAGGTAGGTCGAATCTTGATTTTCACAATTTTTTTTTACAGTTATACATGTGAGAAACAAAGGTTTTATTTCTAGATAATGCATTAGTGTAAAAGAAGTTTGTATTGATCCAACCAGCTGAAACACAAGTATATATCATTAGTGTGTTTGTTATATCTATTTACTTAGATGATATTTTGGACTTCTAAAATTAATTGTTGATTAGAAGACTTGCCAATAAAATTATATCTATTTCTTTGTCTATAATCTAAAAACAATTTTAATTTATCATCTAAATATAATTAAATTTTCTTAACTTTGGGTTGGTGTTCAATAGTTGAAAATTTAAAACAGTTTCATTGTTAAGACACGACAGGGACATGATAACAAAATGGTGAAATCTTACTTATCCCTCTTCATCCTAAATTGACATATGCATGCACCAATCTTCTGTGAACCATGTCCTCTGACAACAACAATTCGTAATCATAAACTTATCGAAGATAAAGTTCATATTTGCAAATAAGCACAAGATTTCTCAGTAAATGACTGAAGTATTGGTTAGATTGCACTCTCTACTATATATGGAGATTTATGACCACTTCATGTACGTTAAAAACAGTAAAAGTATGCCCCTAAACTTTCCATACCAGCATAAGAAAAAAGAAGATTCCAAAAGTCCCACTGTGAAGACCATTAACACGTCACTTTAGGAGATGATGTGCAACTTTTGCACATTGTCTCAAAGGTAAATGTTTCGAGAACATCGAAGTATCACAAGAAAAAAATGTTTTTTAATATATTTTTAAAAAGTATGTATAAAAAAAAGTGAAAGAAAGCGATGATTATTTGTAATAGGACATAATATCAATTTTTAATGTTCAAATAATTTGAAGAAAATACAACTAATTTTCATTTTGGGTCCATTTGTGAAGTGGTGAAATAAATTGGATCTGATTCATATAGAAAGGCCCAATGGGAATCGTGTTCGATAGGGCTATTACTGTTATACAACCAAGTACTGTCAATATCATACATGACCCCTTGCTTTTCATGTCTTTGAAGCTTTTGGGTAGGTCAAGGTACAATTTTAAAAAAACAGAGAGAGAGTAAAGAAAAACGAAAAACAGAGAAAGATATTTTTGTTTGACAAACTATCATTCTTTTTTAATATGTTTATTTTCCCTTGTTAATTAGATGTAAGTGTCTTTAGATTATCTCTTTCAATATTTAATTTAATCATCTTTGATCAGAAGAAGAACAAACCTGGATGTCAATGGTAATATGCTGTAATCAATAACAGTGAATATAAATGATAGGATAGAAAGCTTATGTTCTTTAATAAATGAAAAATATGATAAGAAAAATGCCATGTCGTTTTAATGCTACAATTCAGCATAATAGTTTACACTGATATATTCATCTAAACATAAGAATTTTCATCTTAAGAATTTTAACCTGTAAGATCAAATTAATAAAATTCATTTATAAGAAATTAGATTGATAAAATAAATGTATGTTTTAGGAATTAAAATAAGAATTTACTTTTGAAAACAGAAGAATCTAATTGACTTTCCGTCTCTTTCTTTAAAATCTGATTATTTGAAGCTTCTAATTTAAAAAATTCATATATACATAATTAAGAAATATTAAAATTTGTCACAAAATAAAAAAAATACCTTATATAAAAATTAAATATTTATTTTATTTTTAAAATGATAATTCAAATTTATAATATAAAATTATATAAAATATTTTTAAACATTATTGATATCTATATATATATGATAAAATTTTCTTACACCGACATAAATTTTAAAAAAATTTATTTAGTAAAAATTTTTTATTTAACTTGCATCTAATATGTTATAATTTATTTTTTCATTGACTATTAAATATAAATTATATTATATTAAATTTACATATAAAATTTTGTATACTTAAACTGGTTTGAAAAAATCCTTCCTTACCCCGTATATATACTATTTGTTCATTCTTTCATCATCAGTTTCAGAATAGGTGGGCCTTGAATATCCCTACCTATATTAGAAACTCCAGTCTGGCCCAAATTAGAAACTCCAGTGGGAATTGGACGATCCCTCCTTCTTTTGACTTTATACATTCACTTTTTTTATATAGTTTTATTTTAAAAATATTTTTTAATGTTAAAATTAATCACACCACCTCTCTACAAGCACAGCCCAAAACCATGTTTTTCACTTTTTCATGCACAACCACCCTTAAATCACCATCCTCAAACCTTACTTTAACACACTTTCCTCTTATGAATAATTTTTTATCAAATTAAGTGTTTTAGAGGTAAAAGACTAAGCGCTTAAAGTTTTATTTAGAAGTTTGAAGATGTTAAATAGAGAGAAGGGTGATAAGAGTTAATTATATAAATAAAATTATTGTTTTTTATATATTTTATTTATATTTATATTTTTTTCAAAAAATACAGAAATTTAATTTTTTTATTCTTCTAAAAATTAATATTTTTAAAAATTAATATATTTTAAAACTATCACTCTAAAAATATATCTTTAAAAATTATATTTCTATTTTTATAATTTTTTAAAAAATATCACTCTAAAAATTAATATATTTTTCTTCCTCTAAAAATTAGGATTTTTAAAATTTATATTTCTATTTTTTTATATTTTTAGAAAAATTATCACTCTAAAAATTAACATTTTTTAAAAAATATTTTTTTTTAAAAAAAAAATTAACATCACACTTTTTAAAAAATATTTTTTCTATTTCATTCATTTAATAATTAATATAAAAAATACTATAATAGACTAAAAAATCTTTTAAAATGAGAAAACTCACAAAATTAAAGTTAGGAGAATTTTAGAGGGTTTAAAAAATTTCTTAACCCTTTCTCTTCAAATTAATTAACTTTCAAACAACAATTAAATTCTCCTAATTCTTCTCTTTCTCTCTTTTCCCCTCCTAAACTCAATTGTCAAACATAACCTAAGAGATTTCTCACGGCAACTAAGAATTAAATATTATAAATAATTCAAAATGATGGTATAATAATAATAATAATGATGACGATGGTTAGGGGCATTGGCAAATTGAACTAGAGTTACTATGCTCGTATCGGTGATAGCAGTGGATAATTGTTTATCATTCGCCACAAAGCTGTTGGTCCAATACATTGATGTTGGATGAGAGAATGAGACATGATTAAATTTAAAGAAGAATCTTAATTAATTAATTTAATTAATTAAAAATATTATAGATATCTTAATTAATAATTAGGGAGTAGGTATTGGAATATTTGAATGAAGTTATGCTTGGCTGGACCTTACGTGGTACTGCTTATCCGTTGTGTTTATTTTGTACCTGCAAATTTCAAAGCATGGAAGAATGTCTCTCAAGACATTTTCAATTTTTATAATAATCATGTGTGGCCCTAACTTGTTCCTCATTTTAGTTTCTTTCTAATAATTTAGTGTCTATCATTCATACTTTTCATTTTATAATTTATTCAAATATTTTCGCGCGCCGATTTTGACTCATTTTATCTCCGATTGAGACACCCCATCTAGTTTTTAAAATCCAATCTAATATTATAATAAATAAATTTGAAGTTCAAGTGATTTATTTATCTAAAATATTTTAAGTAATTTAAATTCATTTTTTATTTACTTATTCATATATCATTTGTTTTAATGTTAACCCATCAAGTAAGACTTTATATACTAACATTCTCCTAAGTTCAGTCAATTATAGTTTACACTTTAATATATACATTTAGTTTAAACTTGTAGTTTAAGTTTGGAACAATATTTTAGATATTATTTTTATTTTTTAGACTTGTGTTCTTTTTTCTTAAATTTTTTAGCGTCGTATCTTTTATTGTTAACATTTGAAATGAGTACTTGATTTAATGTTAAGGAAAAGTAAACTTGAAAGTTTAATGATTTATTTGTCTATAATATTTTAAATAATTTATATCATGATTCTCTTTTTTATAGATCATTTGATTTATTTTTAACTCGCTTACTTTATATCTTAACATTCAAGAAAAAAAAAACATTTTTTACACATTTATAATTTTGATGTAATAACTTGTTTCTTATGAAAATTTACTATATTTTAAAGTAATTAGAATGGATTGGAGTTGCAACATGTACCGAATCTAGCATCGGAAGTTGACCCATGACACTTTAGGAATAATACAGGAAAAGAAAGAGAAAAATGAATTGTTGCAAAGTAAATGGGGTCTCCTCGTACAGTGATGAGAAACCACAACCAGAATTATGACCCTCTTGAAAACAGAATTACAATTAGTACTGCACTTGTTTCGTACGTACACTTGCACAAGCTACTGTGTCAAGATCGCTACTCTCAGCGTTTTCACCAGTTCATCCACTGTCATGTTGTATCCATCACCCATCTGCACATATTATTATTATAGTATACACACCCATGTCAGAAAATGTCCCTATTTGCTTCTTGCATTTTAATAAATAATTAAATTCAAATTATAGGACTCGAGTCAAGAATATCGTCAAGGTAATGATAATTTCTTACGTTTCAAATCTTAGGAGGGGACAATATAATCCATATTTTTAATATTAATTGACGAAATGGGATTGACTTGAAGCATAGATATGTTTATTATATTTGTTTACCTGAGCAATAATGGTGATGTCGAGAGTGGATTTCCCGAATCGCAAGACGCTGCTGTTTACTACAGAGAGATTAAGATTTTCAAGATGGGACAATATTTTGAGCATGATGCCCTTTTGTTTCTCACAATGGATTATGATGAGTACGTCCTTTTGTAAGACTCTTACTTTGATTTCGGGAAGAATTTCATTGGATCCATAGTAGTAGTCACTAGAATTCACTTCGCATGATGTTGTGCCTTTATTGGATTCAACTTCTTGCTCTAACTCTCTCACACGTTCTTGAAGTTGTTTCACATAGTTGCTAGCTTTGTCCAGTATCGAAGTGTTGTCCATCTACCCATTCATATAGAACAAACCTTTTAACTTTTAATTTCATTTATTCATCTCTTATAAAACAAATACAATATACCCTTTTCAATCATCCCTGATATTGCCCTTCTTAGTGTGGAAACAATTCATATAATGTACCAAACAACTGATAATTAATATCTTTATGTGATCAATGATGATTACAATCGTAAATTTAATAAATATATATTATAGGAACATAATTTAAATTTTTTAAAATATAAATTCTCACAAATTAATTTAACCAAAAGTAAATTACTTGTTAGAGATTAAAGATCGTTTTTGGTTTCCTCCTCAGAGCTTGAATGGATATTTCCCCCCTTTTCACATAATTTTTGAAAAGTGTTAGTGGAGTTTATACCGCTTTATACAAAATGGCACTTAGTCGTGAATATACTCATTTCTTACACTTGAAATTAAAAAATAATAATAATAATTTAGAGGTAAGTGCTGACCGACACCATAAAAATATTTAATAAATAAAATAAATGTATCAAAAAAGTGTTAAATTTTTTATTAATATATAATATTTAATTTAAATTAGCCAAATTAATATCAAAAGCATGGTCAAATGCTTTGAATCCCTGCCTTGTAATGGAACACCATCTCCTTTAAATTCCTTGAAAAGCATAATTAAACCTATCCAAAAAACCATTTTAAATATACTTTTGACGTATTTCTTCATAAAGAATATTTATTATTTGTCAACTAATTAATATCTTTGTTAAAACCTTAAGAAAAATTCTTGGTAAAAGGGCACATATGGTTGAACTCAAAGCGTGATCCATTTATCAAAATCATTTTTATTTTATTTTTATCTTATGGGATAAAATATCTTTTGTTTGAAGAACAAACGTACGTTTATTTTAAAGAATTTCATGAACAGTGTCGTAAAGAATGTGAACATTACGATATTTTACAAGAATCAGCGTTGTAATGTTCACGTACATTTTATTACACGCTTTTTCATATTAAAATAGAAATGCATAGTCGAATAGTTTCTCTAAGATTTTTGAAATAAGAGTGAAAACAACGTAAAATTATGGCGTGCATATAACATTTTAAAAATCTTAAGATAACAATCATCTTATGTTAGTGCAGTGTGTTTGGATAAAGTTTACTTATTTTATAAAAAAATGTTTGTAATATATTTTAATGCTTTTTTGAAACTGCTTTTTCTTAAATTTTTTGAAAAGACACTTCCTCGTGTCCATTTTCTTAAATTATTTTTATTAATTTATTTTTTAATAGCGGTTTTAAACTAACATTAACTACTGTTTTCTCAATTATACTGATGTTTATGCTTTCTTTAAATTATTTTATACACCTATAAAAAAAAGTGAGCGAAATAAAGATAGATGTTTATGCTTTCTTTAAATTTATTGTATACACTTATCCAATTCATTCAATTTCTCTAGTTTATTTTTCTTCCATCCACACTATAAGTTAAAAAAGACTAGTAATAAAAGCCACCATGTTAAGCTCTCGGACAAGAATTGTTTTTCACTGCTAACGTTGCTTAAAGTACACTCTTAGAAGTTAGATATCAGTATGTTTCAGAAGATATAATATTGATGCCTTGTGTCAATTGCTTCAACTTGAAGTTTCATATCGAACACATTATAAAAAACTATTTTATAACACTTAAAGTAAAATTAAACATTTAGAATTTATAAAATAAACCAAAATAAAATATTTTAATTGTATAAATTAAAATCAATTTATATAATTCAATTTATAAAAAATATTAAATAAAAAAATTCTAAACTTGCTAACATATATAAATACTTAATTTTAACCTTGCTAACATATATAAATACGACAGATTTAAAATTTAAGTGAGACACAAATAATTGAGTAAATTATAACCAATTTTTTAAATTGGAAATGTTATTAATTTTACACTCCAACTTAAAATATATACTTTAATCCTTAGAGTGAAACATATATGAAATGTGAGACTAAAATAAATAAAATTTATGATTTCAGTAAGTAAAGTAATAGTTTAGTCCAATATAGTTTGTACTATTCCCGTAATTGAATAGGTGAAGCAGATGAGCGTAATTTTGAATACGAAAATATAAATGAAAAATGAATAGGATTCTCTGATTCAGACATGGTGAGAAGAACATAGATAGAGATGAATTTGGAGTTTGGAAGATTTTTAATATATATATATAAAAAAAAGGCAAAGAATTTTCACTCTCCACTTTTAAAAAAATGATAAACATGCAGAGAAAAAAATCATATGAACAAGTTAATTAAATTTACTAACCTTTTTGAAGCCAGGTATGGTGGCTGAAAGTGCAAGCAAATTCTTTGACAGTTCACGCTTGCTTTTAGACTCGTCCATGACGGGATCTACGGTATCAGAAAATAAATGACCCTCATCATCACCACCAAATTCCTCATCATCAGAACACAAATCGTTGTCATCATCATCCACTTCCTATGTACGCCAAACAAGAGAGTTAGATATTCTAATAATAGCTGCAAACCCAAGACCCAGTATATATGATCAAAAATCATACTCATATAAATGTCCTATATATATGAATAGTGAGTCCTATGTTGCTAACTTTTACCAAATCAGAATGATCAGAAGGCCAATTTTCTCCTGACTCCTCCATTAATCTACCGGTTTTGGAGTAGAATGCTATATAAAATTGTATAACATATGGTGAATTTGCACAGAAATATGAGGTTGGCGAGGAAGAATGTATGGATGTGGATAAGAGGTGGGGTTACATGAACTATGAGAGAGAGAGAGAGAGAGAGAGAGAGAGAGAGAGAGAAGGAAAACAATAAAAATAATAATAAGGGAAATGAAAACTTGATCTGGAGAGGGAGTAGAAGGGGTGGAGCAATGCACTAAATCAACCAAAAAAATATATAGAAATATCCAAAACAGCAACAATTTGCAGTGCTTGATTATAAACAAGGAAACCACTTTCATATATATATCCATGTTAAACTCGCCAAAAATGCTACATGCATACCCACCGTCGATCCCTTTTATTTAACACGCGTCAAGCATCGAGTGACCATGTGAGAGGCAGAGCGTGGTTCGCGTGTTCCATGTTATGACACTTCTAAAATTTATTATAAAAAAATAGTGTGTTGGGTATGCATTGTTAGTTTGGTCACTTTGAAGTTGCCAACTAGTCACAATCCGAGTCAGCATATACACTAAAAAACAACTAAGGAACTTTGTTGCCATTCTTAGGATCGGATCGGATCCGAATTTGGATCGATACCAACCCATCAAAACCCATTCTCAAACCAAACATAAAACTAGAATGACAGTTGGCCACATGTCTTACCACATGTCACATTTATACATGGCCCAGTTATCCTGACAAATTACCCTATTAAGCATATAAAACTTCTCCCACTTTCAAATATAACATTGTAGCATCAATTTTTTAGAGTTGCGAACAATGAAAACCCACAAACAAACATTCAACTATGATGCATGCTAACATTTGGTAAGATATCTTTAGTGAATGGTCTTGTGGAGCCTATTCCAATTCCAGTTACAGGACTCTGGCTGTGTTGTATATATTTTGTGTCTCCATGCATGGGATGCATTCCAATGTTTATGTTTGAATTAAACCACGTATAATGTTTCAACTATATGTATAATCGGTCACACCTATCAATTTGGCCAATGTATACAGAAAATAAACTAATAATTAACAATTAAAATATTGTTGATTAAGTTTTCATGACAGAATTAATAACGATATTTCTAAATCTTAGTTTATGATGTAACTCCTTAGGAGCGAAATTATAACCAAATACATTGGACGCATGTCTTTAACAAAGGGACATAATTAAGAAAGAAAAGGAAGGGTGTGATCACAAGCCAGATTAATACTTTTACTCGAGCTTGGTGAGGCCATTATACCATCAGTTAGACTATCAGAACTCGTGGGTGAATAGTTTCTTTTCTAGATTAATTAGATTGGGATCCGATTTACAGGTACAACTCAATAATTGATTATTGTAATAAAATTAAGGGTTGTTCTTTTTTTAATAATTATTGATGAGAATCATTTTGAAAAGAGGAATATAAGATCAGTGTAATAATTTCAATTTTAAAAAAGATGTATCTCAGTAAAAGTGTTAATTGTAATACTCCATCGTAGCGAGACCATGGACCAGAAGTTTGAGTAATTTACGTAAAATTATTAGTTTAAACTATGTAGTTACCATAGAAAATAAAGATGTTAACTATGTGACAGTCTTATAAAAGAATTTGATGTTTGAAATATGATAAAACTTAAAGATGATACTGACTTACTAAAATATTAAGTTTTTAATTATATTTATTGTTATTAATACACTAAGTAATATGTTTTTAATACATAATTATTATATATTTTAAATAGACGTTAATAGAATTAGGATAAGATTTGACCTCCTGAAAAGGCCTTTCGTAGTTCCCCTTTATGTCAGTCTAACGTTTTTCTACGACAAACCTTGGACAACCTTGGCCTTGACCATAGGTTGAATATTCAAGACATAATATTAATTGATGATCCAATCATAAATGCTTGCTTACGGTGGTTGCAAAGAAGACGCAGCCTGAAAGCTCGTGTCGTGCGTTGCTGTAAAGTCATCCCTAACCCGCAACTCGATATTTATGAAGCTATCGCGTGAAATTCTTCAACAGTTTAAACGGATCTTCATTTTTTAATGATACCTGTCATTGATGTGACTAAGTTTAGCTACTAACAAAGTAATAACGTATTTTTAATTATTAATTCAATTTTATTTAAAATTATAAAAACTACGTAAATTTCATTATTTTTAATTCTTAAATTAATATCTCTTTTATATTTTTATTATTTTTAATAAATTTTAATCAATAATTAAAAGTATATTAAAAATATTATTTACATTCTGCTTTTACTTGTTTGATTATTAGTCTTTTTTATAATTATAAATAATTCAACAAATATTACAAAAATATAAGAAGTAAAAGATTTAATAAACAATCAATGAATAAATCTTTTATTAAAAGCTTTTTAAAGCTCACTAATATATTTAACCAAATTAAAAAAAATATTATTCTCACTTTTAAAAAGTCAAAATTATGTTATTATCATGACTAATTTTAATTATTCTCCCATTGGAATATACAAAATAATAATAATAATAATAATAACAATAATAATAATTAATAAAAAAATATGATAACAAGAGAATTAATTACAAAATGAAGAAAATGGAGAAAAATTACGAGGAAAAAAAGGCATAAATGAGTAAAACAAAATAAAATATATGGAGAATGCAAAGTAACCAACAAATTCATTTTTTTAATGTATTAATTAGTTGAATAATAAATAAAAATGTGTATTGTATTTAAAGAAAAATAAAAATAAGGTTAATTATTAGAGTTTTTGTTAATTAATTAATAATTTTAAGTTCAAATTTTAATAAATATAAATATATTAGCTACTACTATTAAACAATAGTAATTTATTAAGGTGCAAGAAAAAATTAAGATTAAATTGTTTTAAATATAAAAATATTTCAATAGTTTTATATATATTAACAAGGATATAGATCTCTCCAGCGCGAACAAAGGGTTGAAGCAGAATTTTGATAGGGTTGAAAAACCAAATTTTAACAAGGGACCATGAAAGAAGCCATTTTGAACCAAACCCACAAATCAAAACACGAGTTTTGGTGCTTCTGAGCTGGAATGACTCTTTGGTCTCCACAAAACGGAGGGAATGGTTAAGTGAACGATGAATGATGATGTGAGAAGAGAAAAGGAAAATGCTGCAGGGGATGACGATGGAGTACAAAGGAGGAAAGCTGGTTTTAACACTGTAGCTTCGATGATAACAATGAGAACATCAATGTCCCAATTTCAACCAACTTTGGAACGGATTCAGGTCTAGGGGTAGTTTATGGCTGTTATTTCAATCTTATGAAGAGTTTGCACAGCATTTGGAACTCTGGAAGCAGTGAAAACCAAGCTTCTGATGCAAACAATGACAATTGGAACTCGAACACTGGTGATTCAAGTAAAAACATCTATTAGAGAAGCAATAGCATTGGGAAACAGAAAATGCCTCAAGTGATGATAAGGTGAATTGTGTAAATGAATGTCCAAATGAAATGTGGAAATAGGTGATTACCATGGTGGGTAGACATGGTTTTAGAGGTAAAGGTTTTCGGGGCAACAGAAAAACGTGAAACTTTGTTAAAATTCTGCTTCAACACTTTAATCACGAATTAGCTTAAGCTAATTTTTTAAATAAATTTAAATTTATTTAAACAAAAATAAAATTGAATATGTGATTTTCGTGCAAATTGAATAGATCTAAACCTTACTAATAATTACAGATATTTATATTACAATACATGTCGAACGATAAATATTTATGAAAAAATATTTTAATATTATTTATTTACTTTAATTTTTGAATGTCTAATTAATACTATAGCTTAACTTTACATGTCATAATTTTAATAAATAAACACAGGATGTATGTTGAATATAAATCTTATAAAGTGTATATATATGATGATGTAAAATTTTTCTTGAATTCAATTTTTAATTAATTTTGAATTATTTTAATGGATAAAAATTATTTTTAATAAAAAATTTATTAAATTTAAATATTAAAATTTCCATTTTTAAACATGGTAAATTTTTTTTTCTAACTACCTTATAATTATAAAATTTGTATATACCTTTATAAATAATTTAACTTAATTAGGATGTTATCTTATTATGTGTACGTATCTATTTTTTATTAGTTCAAAAAGAAAATCAATACCCTGCGAAATTCGAAGGTACTAGCTAGAATATTTACAATTAATACGTAAAATAATTTAATTTTGGAATTAAGCATGAGGTCTGCATTATTCTTTTTTTGATTGGACTCTATACCAAACAATGGTATAATTATAAATGGTGGAAATAAAATAATATAGGGGACCTCTATAAAAATATGATATATGCATGATGCATGATGTATATATTTCGGCAATATCAAATTTTTTTGCTGTTTACATATTATTTCTATTTCTTTTCCTCTTGAACCTATAAAACTCTCATGAAGGTATGGATCACAGCATCGATCTCTTACTTGATTAAAGAGAGCTAGCAAAACTTACAGAGGGACAGGCTTCCACTGTTAATCTCTTCTGCGTCTCCTTTTCTAATTAGTTGCCAGAGTTCAGCTATAACCATTAAAAAAAGTTGCAGCTGAAACGTTTGTAGAAAATTGACTGATTGTATTACTTGACTTTTTAAGTACAACAATTGTGAAAAGAGATTAAAAAAAAAAAAAGAAATTATAAAATAACTTTAATATTATAATTAATAAATAAAGTGTGAACAATCGATCACTTTCTTCCAATCAATCATCCTTATTTGGTGGTCAGCACTTTTCTCCTATTTTCTAACCATGTATAGGTGTCATATGTTTACTTTTACCAACTTTTTAATTTTCTATCTATTCCATTCTTCAACTACGAAAGTGGTGGACGGAAGGTTGCTGATCAAAGGCTTTCATCATGAAATAAGCAAGCTTCCACACACACAAATATATCCCTAAGCAAGCTGGGGTCAAGTGAAATTGCGAAGTTTTATAATATAAATATATTTTATTTTATTTTTTATATTAATTTATTTTATTAAATTATCAATCATATTTTAAATTTCTGTTTTCTTTTTTATCTCTCTCACTTCACACCCATTTTAAGAGTGTCAAAATATAACTTCTAACCCGAAAAATAAGTGTGAAATTGGTGAAGATATGAGATAAATAAAAAAGAAGAAAAAAATGTAATAAAAGATATAATTTTTGTACTTTTACATTTTCTTTTTTGGTGTTTATTTTTATTATCTCTTTTTTTCATTTATTTTCTTTTTAATCTCATCATTTATATAATTTTTCCTCGTTTTTTGTATTTTTTTCTCTTTTCATGCCAATTACATCTAAAACTAGGGTGCCAAAATAATTTTCCATAAAAAATGTAAAACAAAAAATAGATATAAGACATAGAGTGGACGTAAAAATAATGATAATAATAATAATATTTATTACGGCTGTTGTGCCAAGGAAAAATCGAGAACTTGCATGCGCTTATTATTACGTCCTTAAGCATTCGGAATGAACAGCTAGTATACTTTACTCCCGTTTCTAATCATTTTGGCAAGTTGTTTTTAACAATCATATCATACATAAGCCACGTTTAACCTAAGTTCCTACTCTTCGGATATAATTAAGATGACTTCAAATTCAACGAATGTCACTATATATCAACGTTGCTGGCCAATGGTTAATTAGTGTACTAACTAAATTAAGCATGAGAAATGCATTCCTATTTGTTTAATGGAAAGTAATAAAAGGAAGTACATTACAGGTGCAGTACAGTTGCTATGTCAAAGCTTTATATCCTCCTATATATGTCCTCACTCCCCATTCAAACAGCAAATATAACATTAAAGATTCAAAACTGTAATTTTCAGTAAGTTTTTCCAAAGATATCATACATGTCTTCTCTAAGATCCACCATGTCAATTAATGATTCAAAATCAACCTTTGATGAGCTTCGATGGGTCATTCACATCCGCAAAACCCTTGAAGAAGAGCTGGAAGAAGATAGTGAATTTTCTGTATCCATCTTCAGTGTGCCCAAACTCCTTATGGTTAGTGATCCAGACTCTTATGTCCCTCAACAGGTTGCTATAGGTCCTTACCATTATTGGCGTCCAGAACTGTATGAAATGCAAAGGTACAAGATTGCAGCAGCAAAAAGATTCCAGAAACATCAACAAAAGCTCAAGTTAAATAATCTGGTTGATCAATTGGCGAAGTTGGAGCAAAGGATTCGAGCATGCTACCACAAGTTCTTGGATTTCAATGGGGAAACATTGGTGTGGATGATGACAGTTGATGCCTCATTCTTACTTGAGTTCCTTCAAGTTTATGCCATGCAAGAAGGAACCAAGGTACCAGGGGTTTCCTCAAGCATGTCTCATTTGGTAGATTATGCTGGGAAGAAATCAGCTCATAATACAATTTTGAGGGATGTTGTAATGCTTGAGAATCAAATCCCATTATTTGTATTAAGAAATATGCTGGAGTTCAAATTCTCATCACTAGAAGCTGCAGATGACATGCTGATCTTGATGTTCATAGGGCTCTTCAAAGAAATTTCTCCTTTCAAGATGATGGAGGAGTATCCAAACATTCAAGTCTCAGAGAGTGTTCATATGCTGGATTTCTTGTATGATGTGATAGCACCCAAGTTAGAACAACAGCCAGACACAATTGAAGTTGAGTTTCAACAAGAAGACGAAGAAAAGGAAGAAAATGAAAATTCAACCTCTGATTCAGGCCAAGTTAAACAATTCTTCAGTGATATCTGGAACATTCTTTCAAAATTAAACAAAGGGCCAGTGAATTCAATCAAAAAGGTACTTGTGTCTAAACCTCTCAAAGTCTTTGTTCAGCTACCTTGGAAAATTGTGTCCAACCTACCAGGAGCTAAAATTCTAAAGCAACCAGTTGAATATTTCTTTTTCTCTCGAGAAAAAGGAGATGAAAAAGAAGAAAATGGGAATTCAGGCTCGAATAGTCGCATGAACAAGCCACCTTCAGTGGAGGAAATCACTATTCCTTCAGTTACTGAACTCGTGAACTCAGGTGTTCGTTTTGTACCCACTAATGGAAGCATATCAAGCATTAGTTTTGATGCAAAAACACGCACGTTTTGCCTTCCCACAATTGGTTTGGACGTTAATACTGAAGTTTTCCTCAGAAATTTGGTGGCATATGAAACATCTGTTGCGTCGGGGCCCTTGGTTATAACTCGTTACACTGAGTTGATGAACGGGATAATAGACTCGGAGGAGGATGCAAAGATTCTTAGAGAAAAAGGGATTATTCTGAATCACTTAAAGAGTGATAAAGAGGTGGCTAACCTATGGAATGGGATGAGCAAGTCCTTGAGATTGTCAAGGGTGGCATTGTTGGATAAGGTCATTGAAGATGTTAACAATTATTATAATTGTAGAATGAAGGTTAAGGTTTGGAAATTCATGAAGGCTTATGTGTTTAGTTCATGGCAGTTTTTGACATTTCTAGCTGCCATTTTCCTCTTGCTCATGATGGCCTTGCAAGCCTTCTGTTCGGTCTACACTTGTAGTCGCTTTTTTCGCTCTGCACTACAATCCGCAAATTAAAGGTGATAATGTTATCATTTCAAGAAAATTAATGTAGCAAGTCGTTTGTATGTTAAAACCCAAATTCATGATGTGATGCCAGTTAGATGATGATTAATCATGTCTTATTATTTAAAGTCATCTCAAGTCAATGTTTATTTTATCTTTTTTTTTTTTGTTCAGTTATGTATCTTTCTGCGGATTTTGTATGTTTTTATTGTAACAACTATGGTCTATTTAATAAACTCTATCTTGCCCAACCGCACTAGCCAAGCTAGGCTCCATCAAACTGATCTTCATCATGCTCTCGTTCTTGGGTTAGAATGTAGTGACGGCGGTTTCAACGCAGGAAATGTTCCTTTCATTCTACTTTAAAGCCCCCGAACCCAATCAAATTTATGTTGATTTGATCCTAAGTTTATATTTTTCTAAATTAAATTTCTCTATCAAATAATACTAACACCTTGTCATTTGTTTTGTTTTGGTTTGGTCTTTATTGGATTCATAGATACTGAAATAAGAATTATAAGGTAATTAATCGTGATAATTTGTTGGACTTCGTAAAAATTAGATCTTGGAATTGGCCTTAAATTAAATTAATTTGAAGGGGTTTTATCTTTGAACGTTCCAAGAAGCCTCTGTTACGCTTGTTATCCTTGTAAACCATTTTAGACTTACTGTCTATTAGCTTGATTTAGAAATTTTGTTGATTTTTTTACCATTTTCAACTTTTCACTGGAAATGAAAATTCCCTAGTTTTTCTTTTGTTCTCTATGCAAGTTCTCCAGTTTCTTAAATAAGGGACGTCATTGCAAAAAGCGTTAACTCCACAAAGATATAACTGAAATCTCTTCAAAATATTTGAAGTAATTAATAATGCTTTATAGATACAGCGATAAAAGTATATCATAGAGAAATATTATTACATTTTCAGAATAGGTAGAAATACCTTCAGTATATGATTGAAATGTTCAACGATTTTTAAAACAAAGAAATAGCACGACAGTGGGAATGCTCATCAAGGATTTTGTCATGAAAGGGACCCTTTAGTTATGAGAATTAGTGGCAACAAACCAACTTACATATTATATAAAAGCAAGTGGAATAAAGTGGGAGGTTGCATATTTACCTTTTCTTCTGATCAAAGAAACCTTTTCAATTAATAAAATTATTGAAACAAAAGAAAGTTTCAATAAAACAAACTTCACTTTTTTTTCTTCATATTCTAACGTAGAATTCCTGACAACGAGATTGTACTTAATTAATTTGCTCGTGTTTCTCATTCTTTAGCAACTTACTATTATCTTACTATATATATTATATTGTACAAAAAGCAAGGTAAATTAAACCTACGTAACACTTAAGAGATTCACATTTCTAAGTTAAAGTGACTTAACTTTCAAAGAATATTATTGCCTACCTTATCGGTGAGTGGCAATGACTACAAAAATTCTGCACGATAAAAACATTTGTCTGATGGAAAATGATCAAATAAAATTCATATGGTTGCTATAAATAATAGTAATTTTATGGGATTATGCCAATAAAATTTTATATCATCCTCTATATCAAAACTCCACCTTTAGCAAAGATAAATAATAGCTTAAGATTCAACACTATCATTATTTGCAGTTAGTTTCTACATTATTAATATCACACAATCACAAATGTCATCTCTGAAATCGGCTATGTCTCGTGATTCTAAGTCGAACTTTGATGAACTCCAATGGATCATCCAAATCCGTAGAACCCTCGAAGAAGAGCTTGATGAAGATGGTGAATTGCCTGTATCCATCTTCAGCGTTCCCAAGCTCCTTATGGCTAGTGATCCAGATTCCTACATTCCTCAACAAGTTACAATTGGTCCTTACCATTATTGGCGTCCAGAACTGTATGAGATGCAAAGGTACAAGATTGCAGCAACAAAACGACTCCAGAAACAATTAAAAAGCCTCAAATTAGATAATCTTGTTGACCAATTGACAGAGTTGGAGCAAAGGATTCGGGCATGCTACCACAAGTTCTTGGATTTCAACAGCGAAACATTGGTGTGGATGATGGCAATTGATGCTTCTTTCTTGCTTGAGTTCCTCCAAGATTATTACACCATTCAAGATGGAATAAAGGTCGCATGGAGGAAATCAGCTCATAATGCAATTTTGAGGGACATTGTTATGCTTGAGAATCAAATACCATTAGTAGTGTTGAGAAAGGTGTTGGAGTTCAAACTCTCATCATTAGAAGCTGCAAATGACATGCTGATCTTGATGTTTATAGGACTGTTCAAAGAGATTTCTCCTCTCAAGATGATTGAGGAGTATCCAAACATTCAAGTCTCAAAGAGTTCACACATGCTAGATTTCTTGTATGACATGATTGTATCCAATAAATTAGAACACCAGCCTGACATAATTGAAGTTGAGTTTCAACAAGAAGAAGAAGAAGAAGAAGAAAAGGAAGAAAATGAAAAATCAAGCACTGACTACAGCCAAGTCAAGAAATTCTTGAGTGAACTATGGAAGCTGCTTTCAAAACTAAACAAAGGGCCTGTGAATCTAATAAAAAAGGTACTAGTATCTAGACCTCTCAAAGTCTTTGTTATGTTACCTTGGAAAATTATAACCAATCTTCCAGGAACTAAACTTCTAAAACGACCAGTTGAATATATCTTCTTCTTCTCTCAAAGTGAAGGAGATGACAAAGTAGAAAGTGAGAATCCAAACTCGAATGGTCTCGTGAACAAGCCACCCTCGGTGGAGGAAATCACTATTCCTTCTGTTACAGAACTATTGAACTCAGGGATTCATTTCTTACCCACTAATGGAACCATATCAAACATCAGTTTTGACACGAAAACATGCACATTATACTTACCCACACTCACTTTGGACGTTAATAGTGAAGTGTTTCTTAGAAATTTAGTTGCATATGAAGCATCAATTGCATCAGGGCCCTTATTTATTACCCGCTACACTGAGTTTATGAATGGGATTATAGACTCCGAGGAAGATGCAAAGATTCTTAGAGAAAAAGGGATTATTGTGAACCATTTAAAGAGTGATAACGAGGTGGCTAACCTATGGAATGGCATGAGCAAGTCCTTGAGATTGTCAAAGGTGGCATTCTTGGATAAGGTGATTGAAGATGTTAACGCGTATTATAATAGCAGAATGAAGGTCAAAGTTCAGAAACTCATGAAGGTTTACGTGTTTGGTTCATGGAAGATTTTGACGTTCCTAGCTACTATCTTACTCTTACTCTTGATGATCTTGCAAGCCTTCTGCTCTGTGTATACCTGTAATCACATTTTTCGTGAGACACTTACGAGTGATTGATGTTAGTCAAGTATCAATTTGTCTCTTGATATATGCAAATACAGATACTTGTTTCGGTTTTTTGTTTGTTTGAGCGTGTTTGTCTACTCGATTTGCTTGTTCAGATGATTTTCAATGGAGTAATGAATGTGTGGTCAATTTGTCTTGTGCTAATTTTCTGCCGTGGATTAAAATATAAGAATTGCAAAACTGATACAATAGGTTTTTAAGAATTATTTTTTTATATCTCTTCATCACATTAATTATGTTATTTTATATTGTTTATTCTTTTCTTATTTCTCTTAATTGTACAAACTTGTCTCTGTGTGTGTATATATATATATATATATATAATACACAAATTTTATAAAAATTATACCCATAAAATAATATATTTTTAATAAAAATACTGATTAATAAATAAATAAGCTTATAAAAAATTATGATTTTAATACATTATCAATTTATATATTATACTTTTTGGTAAAAAATTTACTTTAAATTTTTTTAGTCAATACCTTAAAGATTAACAATTAGTTATCGCTTTTTCTTAAAAAAGAAAAAGTGAAATAGAAAAATTAAAAATTGAAAATGAAGAGAAAAAGAAAATGATGAATGAAGGATGATTGGAAAGGAGAATGAAGATTCTAATCATTAAGTATTTACAAATTGAGTTATCATTTAAATCATGATATCTGTGATTGCTGAGGAATTTTCACTCTTTTAAATAATTGTGTATAGTTTCGTTAACTTTAATTGTTAAGATTAATTTTAAATATTTTAAAATAGTAAATATTTATTAGAAATAATATTTATTTTTGTATTTTTATATTCTTGATATAATAAGTATTTTTTTAAAAATTTACTTTTAATTACTTAAAAAAATTAAAGATCAGAATTAAAATTTTTCATAATTGTGAGGATTTGTTTTTAACATGATGATCTTATATAGAAAAAATTATTAATTTATTTATTCCTATAGTTATTTTAAAGTATTTAATAGTAAAATTTTTTATTAAGAAATAAAATATTTATTTTACTTTTATATTTTAAAATATTAAATATTTTTTTATAAAACCTTGTTTTTATATGTTAAAAATAAGCCTTAAGAGTTGATAACAACAAAATCATAAAAAAATTAACAATTAGAAAAGCATAAATTTTTGTGGTGTTTGTCTTTCTTAATAGTTATAAGAGTTAGAGTATCTTTATACTTTGTTTCCTTTCTGTTTTTTCTCTTCAAGTTACCAAGCATTACGTTAAAAAAATTATTTTGTTGTTAATAAAGATACTAATACTGTAGGTTAGGATTTTTTTTTTTTCCTTGAAGTTGAGTCCTAACATTTTTTTCCCTTTTTTTTTTTCTGGTACAAATGAAATTAGGAAAGTTAAAATTTAAACCCAACACCTTAAATAAGAGAAATTAAGTTTCTTATGATCACTATATTGGAGTCTATCATTCTTCTTCCCTCCTATATTATAAAGCAGTAATGCAAACCATACATATATATACATATGTGGTAACCAAAAACCGCATCACCGTGGATTGGACTAGCCGTTTACTAAATTTAAGACCTTAGCAAATTTTTTTTAATCTGCTTTTATCTAAATTTAGTTGAGTTGTTTAGATAACAGCTTCTCTAATATTTCATTGTTCAGTTTTCCTTAGCACATTATCCCTTTCTCCCTATTGGGAAACATCTTTAA